AAGGCCTATGAAGCGGTATATAAGTCTACTGCTAAGTCTACTGCTATTGCTATGCTGGTTTGCAATCTAACTAAATAAAAATCTCTTTAAACCTGGATAGTTAGTTGAGATTTGACTCTTAGAAAAAAAATATTTTAAATAAAAGTTAACTAATTAAACAAAGTGGCATATTCTCAACTATTCCTCAAGATTTCTAATACTGCTTGTTGGGGGATGAGTTAGGGTGAGGAGAAGGGCCCTGAGTCAGTGTTTATTCCTGGCAGTCGCCTAGACTAGTTCTTGCAGTTTTTTAGATACAATTTCTGGAAGTGGTTTGTCATTGCATTCTCCTTAGGGTTGAGAATGAATGACTGGCTCAAAGTCATCCAGCTGGTTTTGTGCCTAGACATATCCTCACAGTTTCTATTCCCCCGCCTCAGCCACTAGACCAAACTGGCTGTACCCCACGATCTCAGCATTCCATAGACTGTTAACAAGAAGAATGACTAATTTGCAAAAGATTTATCTGAACATGCAGAACAGGAATTCAAAGGGAAAGTATTGTGACATGCAGTATTCCCCTGCAGGAAGTTGTTTGCGTATGTTCTGTTATAAATAGACGGGTTTTTCTGCATTTGCTCATCATACTATACAGCCCTTTAACACACACAAAATCCTCAAAACTACCATATTTCATTTTACTAAATGCCCATGCAAAACAGATTAAGAGATTGAGAGGGCCCTGCCCTTTTGCACTTTCCTGTAGGCTGTTAAAACCTGGCTTTTCCCTCCAGACATTAAGGAGAGGATATTAGAAAATCCCAATATACATGTATCTTTCTGTCAATCTAAAATGGACAACTATACAAAATGTTTTAAATAAATGTGTTGCCTCTATTTTTTTCCTTCGGTATTGAATTATTTTAACCTTAGTAATCGGGTTGCTCAGGGAGGGAAGCTATAAATTGATTGTTAGCTGTCTGGGGTTATGTATTAAAATGAAAAGCCATAAAAGTTTTCTAAATAAATGCTTGATCTAACTTCAGAAAAATAGCACTTTTGAACTAGCCTAGCATGGCTTCTATTATAAATTGGAATAAAAAGCATGTTAAACTTCTGTTACAAGGAAAAAAACATTTTTATTTCCTACAATTTCCCATACATACCTTAAGTAATGCAAGTCTGAGATCTCCTTCATACACAACCAACAGAATTCACAACCACAGACAGCACATGTCATGTGATTACAGCTTCCATCGTTCATCTTTATGATATAAGCAGCACAGCGGGGGCATGGCTTTATGTCATCAGCTGTTAAAAATAAAGAAGTACAATAGCAATATTGCTCCCAAGGAAAATAAAAATTAAAAGTATGTCACATCTGAAATTCAACAAACATCCAGTACAGAAAGATAATTAAGTACACCTAAGTAAAATTCTAATGTAAACATTACACAGAACTTTACACATTATTCTGCTTTCAAATTATACTCAATCATTTAATCCAAAATTAATCTGATGAGATTTTTTTTTATATCCAAAGTAAAAGCATAAAATGCATACTATCATAGATAATATAGCTCAAGTTGCAAAATGATAGTGCAAGGATAAAAAAAATTCTTTAAAAACAATTTTTAAAAATGCTTCCCATTCTATATTTAATCAAGCCATATGATATCAATTAACAGTGATTTTAGAAAGAAGAGCATTCTTTTCAGTTGAGGTTATTATCCATCTTTCAGAGTACTTATTTTCTTCATAGGGAAAAGAGCAAAAGATCTTCTCAATGGCTTATTTCCTTTTTCTTCATAAGGAACTTTTGCTGAGTTATATACAAAGTAACTACTCCCTCTTTTCATGTTCCAAGAGGTGGGACTATAAACAGATCAAGGGCCTAGATTAGAAGCCTGCATGTCAGTGGTTCCCTATCTCAGCTATAAGAGACTCTATCTCTTCGAATTCCAGTTAAATCAATATTCTTATAAACAACTCATGTCCCCATAAAAAAAGCCTAAGTTTGGACATTAAGAACTCATAATTTTCTAGATTCACATGGCATAATAAATGAAGAGTGCAAAAAGAATGGTCTGATATCCATATCCCTCCATTATAAAGTGGCTTTCTTTTCAGCTTCTGGCAGAAATTTAAGGCACACATTTTAAGGCTCAAAACCTTCTCTCAAGTAGAATCTTTGTCTTTGTCCCATCTTATGAATAGGATTACTAATATGCTGTGCAAAATTTAGGGGTGCTTGAGAGCCAACATAAATTTTGTTCCGAATCAGAAAGTGTGCTGGATCTACACAACACTAAGCAAACACATGTTTTATCCTAACACCTGAACTCAGCCAGTGTGTGGTCTGTTACTAGACATTTCACACCAAAAGTTCTATCAGTAGTCAGATCTTTTCATTGATTGCCTAAGCTAATTATATCCACCATGCCAAATACTAGCAGCACATTGTTTCAATACATTCTACACAACTGTACAATTTTGCACTAATATCAACATACTGAAGAAAAGATTCATATCTTCCCTTTTTCGGTATCAGTAACTGATGAGTAATCTAGCAATTCAAGATGTAATATAAAAATATTTCTAATATTTAGCTTGAAATAATAAATACCTGCTGCTCCAGACTCCTGACTATAGCTAATGGATGAAGAACGAATTGTTCGTAAACGTAGACTTTGTGCTCTTTCCTGACGAGCTGCATCACAAGTCTGGTTAGGATGCCAAATCTGCTTACAGTGGTAGCAAAATTCAGTTCCACAGCCTTCACGCCCACACATAAGTTTTGGACAGCTTGCGCAGCCAAAAGCAATGACTGCATACCTTAAATATTCAAAAATAGATGGAAGGGTATTTATTCTCTGTCCTAAGATAAAGCCTCCCTCAAATTATTCTAGACATCTGGCAATTATGTGGATAGATCCATGTTTTCTTGGCAACAATGTAGAAAAAGTCAGTAATTGCCTTCTTCTAAGATTCCCCCCCCCCACACACAAATTCCTAGTTTTCTGTAAGACCAAAAATTTTTTATAGTCTCTTATCAAAATATTAACTAGTTTTTTTTCTTTTTTCTTTTACTAAAAACAGCCTAAGTTAACATCAAGTACTCTCATATGAACTGACTTTTTCAGTTCTACATAGTGCCAATTTAAATAGCTGAGTTGCTATTATGAAACATCATCCTTTATAAACGTAGAAACACAATAACATTTATTGAGCTCTAGTTAATCTCATAGGATATATTTTTGGGGTCCCAGATTGTTGGGGGCAATATGCTGACACTGTAACAGCTTGCAGAGGGCTGTAAAGGACTGTGAAGCAGTATATAAGTCTAAGAGCTATTGTTATTGCTATTTTAGATCTGGACTCTATGGTAGAATTCAGCAAACTTCGACATCATTGTGCTGTTCTGCAAGATTGAAATTGTTTCAAATAAAATAAATTGAAATACGGATAGTCTTTGCTTAATGACTGAAAGTTATGATGGGCCACTAAAAAACTTACAACCTGTTCTTGAAGTTACACACCCACGGTCAACACCATTCCAAGATACAAGTAGTGAATGAATGGTGGCCACGATCAGTTCTTGGAGTTTCAACCCCCAAATCTGGATGCTTGATAATCTGTTTGCACTTGTGATCAGTTGACAAGGGCCTTGTAATCTTATGATAGCAATCTGCTGGTTTCCCCATAAAGTTACTGGGACAATCTTTCCCATCCACACACCCTCCCATAGCTCTTCTACTTGTCCTAGCCAAGCACTCCTTCATACACCCCTTCTGATGCCCACTGAACCTCCCTTGCACCCACTCTGGCCTACACAGCACCTCTTGCATACTCCTCACACCTTCACCAACTCACGTGGCACTTTTCATACCCTCTCACCAATGCATGCCTTTTGCGTACAAGCATTCACCTTCTCCAGCTCACGTGGTATCTTTCATTCACCCACTTATATCCATATTCACTCACGTCTCTTGCACATCTCACCGCTTACCAACTCAAGTTGCACCTCCTGTGTACCCCATCACAACCACCCTGACCTTTCCTCTCACTTTGCACCTCCTCTCTGATTGCGCTGCCTCACTTGTGCATCTCCTTGCACCCCTAGGCTCCTTCCCCCACTCAGCAGCTGCCATTTGTCTACTGGAGGGCCTGGGACTTGCTGCCAGCTTCCTCGTTATTATTGTGGGAAGCTGGCTAGAAGTTGCCTCATCTAATAACCAGGGGATTCAGTGAAAAACTGCAACCAGGACTTCAGGAATGGTTATCGCTAAGCAATGTGGTCATATTTTATGCATTGCTTAGAAACAGATTCTAGTTGCAGTTATAAATCCAATTATAAATCAAGGACTGTCTGCAATCAACTTCAGCCTTGCAACTGACAATCCAGTATAGTTGTATATTAGTGATTGCATGACCTCTTGTAGATGCCATATGCTAAATAAAATAAGAAAGTGATAATTCAGAAATAAATTTGCTGTCTCTCTCCCACAGGCATAATTGGTATTATTGGTAAAACTTTAATCAAAAGTTCTATGAAAATATTATATTGTACAACATACTAAGAAACCAACATTATGTGTTATATAAATGTGTTCATCTGAAATGTGTTAGCAATTATAGTTTACATGCAGTAGCAGAATTTTGCCTTAAATGTTATATCAAAATAAAGTATTAAAGAACCACAATATTTAGAACAAATTAACAAGTTCTTTTATAGTTGTGTGCATGTGAATGAAATTCTATGAATTAATAAATTCACATGTGGTTTTAGAACCACACATAAATGATAAAAACAAGTAATTGCAGTTATCTGCTATATTTTGAAACAAATAAGATTATATGAAGAGAAACGTATTATACAAAATACAAGCAGCGTGGATAAGAATGCATAAAGGCTCCCAAATTTAATTGCCCTATTCAGTCTCAAAATGTACTGTTTATTATTTTCTTTGCCATTTAGTATTTAAGAGTTACAAGAATATGTAACCATGTTTAATATTTAAAAACGTTCCTCTGACATTAAGCAAAAAGTGGATTTTTTTTTTGATTTTTTTCATTTTATTTAAATTTATAGGCCGCCCTTTTCCCTAAGGGGACTCAGGGCGGCTTACAATTAATGGGAA